AACTCGACAATGCTTTACTTCGAAATGTTCGCTTAATTTCCAACTTCCAATTCAGCACGAGAATTAAAATTCTCTTGCACAAAAGTGTCTAGTAAATTCTTTATGATAAAAACGGAAAAGAGAGAGCACGAAGGGAAGAAACTTCCTTCGGTTACATCAATTCTCGCTTCTTATATTTCATCGCGCTCTGTTCGACGATCTCAACGTGCTAATCGATATTTACACCCTTTTAATCCAAGGAGTAATTAATTATAACTTTCGAAACGGTGAACCATTTTTTACAATAACTACGTATAAATACCTATCAATACCCTCATAAATCACAAAAAACTGCAAACTAATGTAAATCAATATGTAACAGTATTATATTGTGCACATTTATTTATGTAAGATATTTTGTAATAATATTTTCTTGTAATATTACATGGGAAAAAATGGTTTTGCTAAAAGTATAAAAAATATCTAAAAATTTACAGATCTGAAAATAATTTTGTCAAATTATCAAAATAATTAATATAGGACACAACTGATTACTAAAAAATATTTACGTATAAATACCTATCAATACCCTCATAAAAAATTGCAAACTAATGTAAATCAACATATAACAGTATTATATTGTGCACATTTATTTATGTAAGATATTTTGTAATAATATTTTCTTATAATATTACACGGGAAAAAATGATTTTGCTAAAAAATATAAAAAATATCTAAAAATTTAATTAGATACAAATCTGAAAATAATTTTGTCAAATTATCAAAATAATTAATGTAGGACACAACTGATTACTAAAAAATATTACAAATATTTGCGCAATATTGCTCATCATATTTGTATGTATTCCGTATATATTTATAATTACTTTTATAATTTAACAAAATTATTTTCAGATCTGTATCCCGCTAAATTTTTATAAATATTTCAGCAAAATCGTTCCACAAAATAGTCATAATTTTGTCGAGATTATCCACTTCTGAAATTATTCTTATTCTGAACTTCGGATAAAACAATCGGATAAAAAGTTTTCATACGACACTACTTTTCCACGCGACTTTGCATTTTTGAAAAACTATGCTCACGTTATCCTGTTTGAAGAAAAATCGCCGACTTTTCGCGTATTTCAACATGCGCGATGCTCACATGTTACTGTCAAGTTTAAGGTCAAGCAAAAAACGCCATTTTCCGGCAGTGGCTCAGCGACGGACGTAAGAGGATTAAGCTAGTTTTCTTCCCACCGGATTTGGTGCGTCGCACCAGCTGCTGCTACTGTCGCCCACTTTCTGCTTGTTTCGTTTCCTTCTATGACGCACGATGATTAAGGCAATTAATGTGGATTTTCATCCACCTGTCTGCTATTAGCTTCATATTTGGCGATCACTTATTTTAACATCGTACGATATCGTTCTTCAAATAAGATTTCTTCCGCAATCATCGTATAATATTTTAAAAGCATTAACGTAATATTTTAATAAAATGTAAAAATCCTATAAGACTATCAAAATCATACAAGTAATACGTAGTAATATATAATATACATACATAATTTTCAAACTATAAACAAAGTTGGTCAATATGTTACTCTCTGAAATAATTAATTATTCAAATTATACTTACATAGTTTGCACATTACTTAAATTATATTTGTGCCAAAAATTGACACAATATGTCGAACAAAGATTTTAATTATAAATAATAATATAAGCCCCCCCCCCCCCCCCCCGCAAGATGTTTTGCGAAAATGATTTTTTATTAACTACATAATACAAATATATAAAACGTTTTTCGACTATCATTATCGGATCATCCTGTACGTCGAAAATTGATATTTGGAAAGTAATTAAAACGCATAAAACGATCAAAACGATTAATTCGATAATAAGAAAAAGTAAGATAATAAATTATTCACCTGCTGATCCACCGTTACTCGATACCTCTCACAAATTGTCGGATTCTCCTCCTTCTCGGATTTCTTCACTGCACACCCACACACACGCACACACACGCACGAAGATCACAATAGTGCAATTCTTTTCACTCCCGACTCACCGTACGACGAAAACTTCGAAAGCGATACGTCATGCTTTCAAATTTGAATAAAGAAAAGAAGTTATCAAGAAAATATGCATCGCCCGTGAAAATCGATAATTTTTAATTTTCACTATCACGTCAATCGCGAACAAAATATAGCCAGATAAGTAACGGTCGTTTCGTTATGCTTACAAGTTGTTAGTCACAATGGTGATCATTTAGAATACCCTCTCCCCCTCCCCTGCCCCACCTCAAATCTTAATAAAAATACATTTATTCAACGTGTTCACTCAAAACGAAAGAATCTGGCAAAACGTCGTAATAGTTAAATGCGTGAGCCGATTGCTAATTTTAATAATCGTCACGAGTGATCGTATTTTAATAGAACAATTATTAATGTAATAACGGAGCGGCTCGTATCCGCTGCCTGCCCGATCGAGTCTCACTGTGCGAATGATACCGCAATGCATGACCTTGCGTAAACACAACACCACGCGCCATACGTTGTGCGCCAGCCAACTCGTCGCCGTTACAAGATACGTATTTGCTGTTATAAAATATTTAATATATGTCGTTCTACTCCGTATATTTCCGATTAATTATGATATATCGGCTATTACCGCACAGCTTGCGATAAGCTTTTTGCAAGATTTCGTTCTAGACTCAAGTCGGCAAGTTCGTTTATTATCGCGCTCTTAATTCGAAGACAGTAATGCTCGTTTTTCTATCAATGTAGATTAACTTAAATTTTGATGTTCACCTTACCTTTCATACTTTTTTAATTTTTAGAACTAGAAAAAGATGAAGAATTGGTTAAATCAAGATTAAAATTAAACTACATCGATAGAAACGAACATAAGTGAATTACGTTAAACATATCGTATGACATATTGTATGTATGATAAAAAAGCTGTACAACGATGATAACGACAATGAATTGTTGTTAAGAATTACAAAATATAGACACTGAGATCTGTTCGGATCTATTTTGATTTAAAATGTAATTTATTTTCTTACTAATATATTATTTAAAAACTTTTTTCTCTAATATTTGATAACTTCGTTTGTTAGTATAAGAATTTTTTTGTAACAATTTTTTAATTTTCATTTTTTACAGCTTTTATTCACATTAATCCAAACAATACGATTATATAATAAATTTCAACAGACCGTTAAAACGATAAAAAATCAAAATCACGATAATATAAATCTGAATGCACGAGAAATATATGTGAAATATATATCGAAATTCAAGTATCGTAAAGAAATATGTAATTATTATTATATTTATATTAATTGCCTAAAATATTTGAAGATCCGAGATATACACATATATATGTAAAATATATATAATTAAAATATATCAAGTTTTCAAACGAATATGAAAATATATAACATATAAAATTATGATTAAAATCCTGTCTTGAAATCTGATGCGAATTATAGTATAATTACGAATCCCCTAAAACGGGCTTTAAAATAGAAATTAAATAATTCGCATATAATATTTTTTCCTATTATCATATTCATTAATTTTCTATTAACATATTCTTATTAATATCGATCAAAATCCGTATGTAATATTTAAACACAAAAAAATTGAAAAACAAATCAACGAGACAATAAAAATTAATATCAATTATACAATAAAAATTAATATTAAATGACAAATCAATACGCGCGTAAAAGTAATTGTAGATTTAAATATAAACTTTATATGTAACATTGACCAAATTTGACTTTATAATTCGAAAATTATTGCAATTTCAATAATTTGTAGTTATATTTTTTTATAAAATTTTATAAAATTTTTTAAAAATATTATATTTTTGTATAAAAAAGATTTAAATTTGAAATCAATTGTAAATTAATAGTTTAAATATTTAATTCTTATTCTTTTTTTAGACCAAAACAGACAATAGATAGAACAATATAATACGTGATTATTTGAAAGGATAAAAAATACATTTATGTATACTCTATATACATATATATGGATAACTCTTAAATCAGATAATTTTTTTTGCTATTCTAATACATATTTTTGATTGGAAAAATAGCCTTTTATTCAGTTAATACTTTTAACAATACGAATATCTCCGACGTTATTTAAATGTATAGTTATTATATTTGCATAATAAAAAACTTCATATACTCATGATTTTTAAATTATTGAGAGAAAAAAAATAAAGGTTCTCTTTGTCTAACGTTAATCGCTAGAAATTAATAACGAGAATGCTCTGAACAGTTATTACACAACATATTTTTATTATCTATCTATAAGAATATTTATTCTGCGTATACGTTAAATCTCAAACTTTAACCTGACAGCACGTTTGCGATCTAATTGAATATTTATGGGATACGTATTCTATCGATCTTTTTATACGTGTTCAATCTTATGGTCCACCGTATTATGTAGGCCGATCTTTCTTACTTTACTTCAAGTAAAGAGGATAGGATCAGATTAAAGTTTTTGCGGGACGGTCCACGGAAAAATCGATATACCAACTCTGTAACGAGAAAGCGTTCTCTAAACTCATCTCAGGATCAAGCCGGATTAAATGCGCAAAGGATTAAAAATTACTCAAGCATTGGATTACGTCAACGCCGAAAGGAAATTATTTTACATCATCCACGGTTATCTCTTTAAAGTCGTTTACGCATAAAACGCTGTATATATTAAACAGAATATTAATTAATATATGGATCTCAACAGTTTTACAAAATCTTAAATTTTTAAAGATTAAATAAATACATCTTGTCTATAATTAAAGATTTAATAAATATTTTCAAGAAATTTTTTATATTTGTAGCGATATTAATAATCGATTTAATTATCATGCTAAATACAATATATATTCATTAATAATTTCCAAAGTGTATTTATATTTAATATATTAAAATGCACTTTTTAGTGTGCAATAATAGTATTAATTCCAAAATAGCGATTAAAAATTTTTAGCTACTTACAATATGTGCTATTCGATGTGGCGTTTTGGCGCGATAGTTTGACCTGCAAAAAAGAACAAGAATTTTAATAAAATTTCTTATATGCATACATATTACATTAGAAATAAATAAGAATTAAGTTAACAAAACTCTTTGCTCATTTTTCAAATTTTCCTTCATGAGAATTTAATTGAATTATTTTATTTGAAGTAAAAGAAAGGTACGTATATTGTACTTCTTTCGCAAAGCAGTCGCAATATACGAAAAGAAACGCCAAATTTGCTTCAAATTCACTTCAGAATATTGTATTACGCATTCTTGAATCCTGAGATTCACTTTAATCTGCATAACTGAGCCACCCGACTTCATACCAGCTTCCAAAATAGTGGCACCGCACGAACTACTCGAGAATTCAGATTAGATTCGGAGGACGCACGAGCAGGCCTCGCTTATAACTCTATCGAGCGTGCATATTAGCATCGAAAAGAGGAAGATACCTCGCACGTCTTTTTATTCTATTTTTTAGGCGATCGATCGATTGACCAGAAGGTCGAAGAATCTCTCTCAGCGTCATTCGTGCGCGACGTCCAATAAGGCACCCAAAGCCCGACAATAGTCGAGGGATTTCACAAGGTATGAATCTGCAAGAATGGCTCTGGCATGGAAATCGCGGACATCCGGATCGACGTCTACAATCGTCGAATAAGAATTTCCTATGTCCTTCCTTGTTATCCTATTCGATCCCACGTTTATTGTGTCATCACGAACGCGAAACCGCGTTTCGCGCAAGAGGGAGGAACAGTAATTGAAGGGCTGCTACTGCCCGAACGTGCCGCACGAGAATGCGGTTTTCGCAGCTGCAGCTGCACGAATCGAAACGAAACGCAGTTAGCGGCACGTCGTACGTGCCACGCGATTTCTCGCGAGACCGTTCGGTCGCGTTCGCGCGAATTAATTACGACCCGGATATAACTCGGCGAAAATAACCGCTTTCCATCCGACGGTTATTTTCGCCGATGGAAAATGTTGCGGCTTGTCTGCTCGTGTGTGCGTACGCGTCAGAAATCACGATGATTATTTCCTGAACGCTCGCTACCGACTGCACTTCTCGTCGACTATTTGCCGTGGTAAGTAAATGCCGCGCCGCGTCGGAACATCGGCGCGTTTTCGCTCTCACCTCTCGTGTTGCTTACGCGAGCTTATGTAACGTAATTACATTCCGCATGATGCATTCTGTACGGAAGAACGAATATCTTATATATTACGCTAGTTCTACGAACTTTTCAATAACTATTCATCTGAAATATTTTTTCGATGTAGTAAAATACCTTATATGAGAAATAAAAAAAGAATTTTTTTGTTAGAAAAAATGTGATATTGATATTATCAAAAATTAGATCAGTGTGTTCGCTATACACTGTGAAATTCATTAAATGTTACCTAATTTGAATTATGTTTAATCATTTTTATAAGCCGCTGTTTCTACTTATACCTAATATATCGTCAATTTAATTAAAAATGAAATAATAATGAAATTAAATGGTTTAAAGAAAATGTATTAAATTTCTGCAGAGATGGACTGATTTACATTTTAATATATATGGAAGTTATAAAAATAACAAAATGTAAATCGATTCATTTCTATAATTAGTTTTAAAGTAAATAACGTTTATATTAACACACTTAGTAAATAATACATTTAATTTGAATTCAATTTAATACATTTTCTTTAAATCATTTAATTTCACTGTTTTAGTTAAATTAACGACGTATTGAGTAGGAGCACCACTTACAGAAATGATGAAAAATAAATTAGATGTAACTTGATAATATAAAATACATATAACAATAAAATACAGATCTGAAAATAATTTCGTTGAATCATCAAAATAATTATATTATACGTCCAAACTGATTGCTAGAATGTCAAAATTTTTTGCAGCATTACTCATCATGCTTGAAATTCCTACAAAATTATTTTCAGGTCTATATAAATTTTTAGATGCTTCAACAAAATCGTTCCATAATCATAAACGTAATAATTATGTTGACTACGCATGATTTTAATATTTGTGCTCTGTTAGAAAGAATCGAACATATCAGCATCTCTCTTCAAGTCAATACTTTAAAGAAAAACAATAATATGATTCAAACTACCTCACTCTTTCTAAATCGATAGTGACAACTTCGGAGAAATGCGCATTTTCTATTCTAAAAAATACACAATTCTGACAATAAATTTGTTCGCGTTGCTTGTATAACTTTTTCCATTCAGGAACTTCAATTTTTCTCTTTTCAACCTGAATAAATATTTATCTCAAGCGCAAAGTATATATTTACAAAATATATATTTATTTAGAGTATAAAAATTTTTAGAAATTTCAAACAACGCGGACAAATCTCATCCACGTTATTGCTGTCCTTCTTTTTTTTTACAATTTCTGATTTCTTTACACTTTCGATTGCGGAGCTTGCGCGAATTAATCAATCGTCCATCGTCGAAACGGATAGCGCCATAAATTCTATCTCACGAATTTCGACAGGTCCGTGTGTGTAACCGGGCGCAACTGCGGGCGAAACTGCAACTGCAAACCGACTGTAATTGGAAGGGCCGTGGGGCGTGTACTATGTGTACCCGTCGCGTATATGGAAGTTATCGCGTAGAAGGGCCGTGATCGAAATCGAAAACCTCCGGGCGCGGAGATTTCGACAGCGTTTTCGGCATTCGAATTAGGCGCGTCGACACATAACACTTTAATCGAATTGCCACACACAATCGAGCTGGCACTTGCAGCTGCGTTACGAACTTTCAATCGCGCGCAAATTGGCTATCATAAATCAACGCCATCGTCGTAAGTGGCGTACCCAAGTAATTCGAATATTACTTCCCGTGCGACATCACAGAGCCTACGCAAGCATCACGATTTTATCCTAATAGCATACTTTATCCGGGATACATCCTGGGAATGTCTTTAGGATGTTCACAGGATGTATGGACGTTTTCTGGACGTCCCCTAGAAGTCTGTGTTGTTAGGATACGTACACTGTTAAATCTATAGAGAAAGAGAGAGCATCAAATTTAACTTAAGTCACTACTGCCCCTACTCGTTATTTTATACTAAACAATGATTAAATTAAAAATTTGACTATAGATTTAACAATGTAATGTTTATGTTCAATTTGCTAGATCTGAATTTGCAATTTTATATCAACTCGTGCAGTATGACTAAACATAAGTTGCTTAGATTATATAATTTTAAGAATTAATATATCCCACGTATAAATGTTAATATAAGATGATCATTGAATTATATACTGTAATTAGTTCTTAAAGAATTATATATAAAGCGTATAATTAAAATAATAGATGTTTGTAATATAATTTCATGGATGACTAAAAGTAACATCCGTAATAATGCACAATTTAACTGAGTGCAAATAAGAATACTCACAAATAGCGGTATATGATTATAATTTTGCCTAATTAGCGTAAAATTTGTATTCTTCATATATGTATAATTAATATGTAAATATACTTTAATTTAATTTACAATTAAATGCGTATTAATATTCATATTGCCTTTTCGCATCATGATTCAAATTACTTATTACTTTTGACAATTGAATTTAGAGCAATTCGATCTGTGAAAATACTGATAACACGATGTAATTAGAGCTCTATTTACCTACGTAGTAAATATTTTGTTGTAATATTGTTCATTTAAATGCATATAGAAACGCTTTAATTTGATGATATAAAACTCATTGGCTGAAATTTTATTTCGAAAAAAATTACCACACGCGTAACACTTTACATCCGCGTTAGTTTGAAAGACTATATACAGAATAAAACTTTCGTGTGTTGTCCCTTGTATTGTCTCCACCTTTCTCGTGCGTTCGTATTTGTCCAGAAGAGTATCCTCTGTGACAATAATCGTAAAAATGTTGTTTCCCGAAACGTAAAATCCGTTTCGTTAGTTTGAAAAAAGCTATCAGAGAATTTAAGCTATCGTAAATTCACAAATAGTGATACTCACTCCGATCCTGCATGACGTAAACCCAGAGCAATTTATTTCGATCAAATTTAATCACGATATATGACATGTTTTTTAATTTGTATTTATAAAGCTGACGAAAAAAAAAAACTTGAGAAAAGAACTGTGTCCAAACTGTGTCGGTAAAACTCCACGTCTGTAGCAAGTTGATCGTTCTCTGGAGTAAAAAGGAAACTTTCGATTTAAGAAACCTTTGTTTACCAAATCACGTTACTAGATTTTTGCTAACGACTTTATGGGGAGTTCGCAGATTTCATTTCCGAGTGGGCCGTAAATCCTAGAAACTTTTCAAATTAAATTTCTAAATTGCGCTTGATCTAGCACAGGGCACTCTCGGTCTCGCTTAACTACCTTCCTTTATTTTTCAAGCAGGCGAGAAAGTCCGGACAGTTTGACGAGCGTTTACTGAGTTTCGTTCGGGAATTCTCGGCGCGCAACTTTCGGAAGTCCTGGTCGAGAAGTCCTATGGTGGAAATAATGAATCGCTTCGCACTACGGATGATAAATGTGGCTTTGATAAATCGCAACATCCGCCACTAAATTTGTACTATGATATAATGAAAATGTGCTCGTACAGCTAAAGCTTTCCGTCTTGCCTGTTATCAGGATTAATGAACTCAACTCGAAAGGTAGCGTAAGTAAGAGAGATTTGCAATTTCATTATAACTTCAACTAAAAATATCCAAAACTCTTTGTAAAAAATAAACTGTTTTTCTGTTTCCCAAGAAGTAAGCAAACGATGCACAGAATGAGCAGCACATCGCACGTTTTTTTCACAATCCTTTATCTCTACTGATTTCCCTGGACGAAAGTTTAATAGGAGATTATTATTTTTCACATCTTTTATTCAAAATTAACCCTCCGGAGTTTACAAGAAATTTATTCATCCACTCAAAATTATTCTTCACGTTATATTCGATTTATAGTTATTATAATAAGTTTAGTATTCACATATTCTTTTTTATATTAATTAGCATACATTAAATAAATCTTAAAGACCCAACATTAG